TATATATATATATATATAAATATTATGTTAATATTTGCTTGTCATCTATAATTTATCTTTTAAAATTCTTTTTACTGACCTCAGTTATAGATTCAACCAACAGTAGAGTTATTCACTATTGTTCACTAAGGGCAACAGCTGTTAAAGGGACTATGCAACAATACATGGCAAAAGTTTCAGTAGCATAATTCATAAAAATGGCTATCAAATTCTTTATCAAAGCAGAATTAGGAAAGTTTACGAATAGAGTTCTGAATAGATGAGGCATTACTGTAGACCTTAACAATTCCTATATAATATTTATCATTTGCTGGCATAAGTTAAATTTACATGGGCACTTTTCATGCCAATTAAAGGTTAAGTTCATATATATTTTTGATGTATTGAAACTAGAATAGAACATTTGTGTGTTTCTTGTGCAATTCAATTTGAGGCTGGCTAAACTGAATGGTCTCTAATGTGCTCTGAGCAATTAACCTAGTACTAGTAGTAAGCTAATGATGAATGAATGCTGTTTATGCTGATCAACTGAAGTAGGAGATCTAATTTATTGTGTTTGTGCCCATTGTTAGTAGAAGGTAAGACCTCCCTCTGGACTGCCAAGCACCAACCCATTTAAGATTTGTGGATCATTTTTCATAATCAATTAGACTAAACTCTGCCTTTTATTCTTAATGCCTTTATACTGGGGACAGCAAGTTGTAGAACAAGCTTAAAGCTGAAAAATTAAAATGTTAAAGAAAAATGTTAAAATGTTAAATTAAAAATGTAAAGAAAAAATGGCTTATCATCAGAATCCATCCTTGCATTAAAATTACCAGTTACAATCAACTCAGAGTTTGGATATAGAGACAATTATTCCTTTAATTACAAGGTGCCTTTATTTATGACAGGTACCTTTATTTATGACAGACATTCAGAGGGAAGGAAATAAAGATTTGCTAATAAATCATTGGGGCTTCCAATTTTCAATTGGGGGAGATGCCTTGGGCATTAGAATATGATTTTATAGAGATATATAGTGTAACTAGTTGAATTTTAAAAAAGAACCCTAAAATAACCCAGGACGCTCCCATTTTTCTTTCAGATAGCTAGACGTGTGGCTTTGTATACTTAGGATAAGTAGATATACTAAAATTCATATCACCCATCAGAATTTTCCACTTCTGTCAAAATCACACAAATATGTTAGGTATGATATCTGAACATATGAACAACTGCATGGTGAAATAGATGATATTTGACTAGTAAATCCATGTGAAACAATAAAAATAAACAGCACAATAATGTTTTATAAACAAAAGAGATTTCAAATAGTTTCTACCCAGATTATTTATGTGAATACAACTGGTTATTAATTATGCAATTGTGTTTTTATTGAATGATATAATTATGCCCAAAATATATTTCATAGCCAACACAAATAATAATCTTGATTCAATAGAATTACAAAATGCAACGTACAATGGAGTCAAATTGTCCTGCTTTGAACTGTCCTGAGTCTGAACAAATATCCTTATCTAAAAGTTGTTGCAAAATTTGTAAAGGTAAGATAAAAGAAAAAAACAAAAAAAATGCAATCCATATTCATATAATTTTATCTTACAGTAGTTATTTCAAGCTTTTTAATACCATATTTACTGTTTTATTGTAAAAGTTTTTTTAAAAAAAAAATACTTGCCAGTATACAATATATATGAATAGATGCAACATAAATTGACATGAAAATTTCTTGAAATGCTTACTACTGAACAATTATTGTATGGTTGGCATACAATAATTGTTCAGTTGGCATAGGTGTCAATTCCATGTGCCAATTCCACTTTCTTAATTATTGCTGAAGAGGTAGAAATTTAATGGAATAATCTTGAGATACCCCTTATGTGACAAAGCATATTTTCACTAAGTTATACTTAGAAAAAACACACACAGTTCTAATTATGAAAATAACAAGGATCATGTAATTCATACTCATGACAGCAACATTTTTGAAATATCTGACGATTTATCAATTTTTTCAAAGTATTCTATAAGCTGCAGTGGTGCAGTGATTAGAATGCAGCACTGCAGGCTACTTCTGCTGACTGCCATCTAACTGCAATTTGGCAGTTTAAATTTCATTAGGCTCAAGGGTGACTCAGCCTTCCATCCTTCTGAGTAGTAAAATGAGGACACTTTCAGAATCTTGTGTTATTAATGATTAGGCTAAGATTAGGGTGTTCTATGACAAATAGACAGAAGAATGAGGTTAATATAACTACACACAACAGTTTTCAAATAAGATGATCAAAAAATGTTACTTCTCTTTTTTTTTTCTTTTGGTTTCTATTGTCTTCCCAACTGAAACACTCTTTATATAATCCAGGGTCTCGGTACAAATTTCTGAACATATTTCATAACTTCATTATTTCTATTCTAAGGTCTTCAAAGGTGAAGCCTCTAATTAGTCAAAGAATTGCCATAGGGCCACAACCTTAGCTTGATGAAAAAGTTACATGTAACAGAATTTATAGGAAAGGTAGTCAGTCCCTTTCTTCAAGATGAACTTTGCAATTTAAAGACATCAAGCCTTAATGAAATTAATAAACCAATTGCTCTAAACAGATGGCCAAATACTAGTGCTGTTTTGCAACTGTCACAATCTTTAAGAAAAGTGATAAATCTGATCTTGCTAATTTCTTTCCATTCAGCTCATTAAGCATTATTAATGAACTTTATACTAAATATCTGAATGAGATATGCACTGACATTTGTATGAATTCAAGGTGTCCTTTGAGACTTAATTCAATTCAAGTGACCCAGCGGAAAGAAACAATAATTTTAAAAGAAATGTTTATTCTTTGATTTTGAAAAATGTAAACCAGGGTTGACATCAAGACCAAGGCTAGGTCTGGTTGATGATATTACTGTTGATAATATAATATTACTGTTTGGGAGCTTTTCTTATCTATTCATGACTGTTGTTGTAACTTTTCTATCTCCTCTACTATTCTTGGCCAATATATTGTTGACCTCCTGGTGAAGTTTGGGTGGGAGCCCAGGAATCATTGTTAGAGGGAATTTGAATAAAGAAACATTCATTTTCATTGCTTTAGTTCATGTTTAGAGGATCACTACTGTATGTTTCTTCAATGTCAACTACTTAGGGTTTGTTTGTTTGTTTGTTTTTAGGCCACAATTTTTGCTCTGAAGGACATAAGTGTTTAGAGAATTCTTTTTGCCAAAATGTTGAAGAAAAGTCAGTTTGTAGCTGCCGAGATGGTTTCCGAGCTCTTCGAGATGACAGTGCATACTGTGAAGGTAAATTCTTATAAAACATGGCCATATCAGCAACAAAAATTAGTCTGGAATATTGCATGAAGTATAATTAATTCATAGCTTGCCCAAGTGATGGAATCATGAGAACATTTAATTTAAATCTTATTAAGCAAATTAAATAATTATATCTCAAATTAAAGTTTTATCTCTTTTAAAAAATTGATTTGTGTCAAAGTAGTACGCTAATATGACTAAGTTCTTGATTTATAAGTAATACATTTTGATTTTGTTCCATTGATCAGATTTCAGATAAGTTATTTGATATATATATATATATATGTGGATCTTTGGTTGTTCGGGTTTTCTCCCGCGTAAGATTCGAAGTATCTAGGCAACGTTTCGATGAAGTCTCATTCATCATCTTCAGGCTTCTGTCTCTGTGCTTCTCAGAGTAATGTGAGATTGCAGCTGCTTCCTCCTTTTAACTGCCACTTCAAACCCCTCTGAGCCATACATGAAGCAAACCGACACCCACTATGAAGATGCAGCAGGACCACGTACTAGAAGCCAACCAGCAAGATCACAACTCACCAGCTCAAATCCCCCAGCAACTAAGACTAACCTGAGCACAACCAAGCCCCCACCTGAACAGAACACGCCTCCAACCAATCAGAACACAGCTAACCCCCCAACCAATCAGAACACAGCCAAACCCCCTACCAATGAGAACACACCCCCACCCAATCAGAACACAGCCAAGCCCCCACCCAATCAAGTCCCACCCCCACTGGCAGTTAAAAGGAGGAAGCAGCTGCAATCTCACATTACTCTGAGAAGCACAGAGCCGGAGACAGAAGCCTGAAGATGATGAATGAGACTTCATCGAAACGTTGCCTAGATACTTCGAATCTTACGCGGGAGAAAACCCGAACAACCAAAGATCCACATACAAATACCCGCGAGAACCTCAGAAAATATATATATATATATATATATATATATATATATATATATATATATA